TCAACCATAATCAACCAAAAGAGGGAGAGAGGATATTAAGAAAAATAATTATAGTATTTTAGGAAAAACATATCATATTTCTTACAATTAACTAACTTACCTAACTTTTTTAATCTTATCAAATTAGTTAAATAAGTCTTATATTGAGGATAAGAGGAGTAACAATTTTACCCCTCATTTTTTTGGGAGTGAATTTTTACCTCTCATTTATCTATCTTCTACTTTTTTGTTACTGAAATCTCATAATACCCTTGAAGCTAAAATGGGTCTGGTGCAATTGAAATGGGTGAGTTGCATAATTAATTATTAGTATGATGCCCATACATTTAATGACGGCTTCCTTCCATTTGAGTAAACAACAAAACTCTCATGCTATAATAAACATTTCCTTCTATTATTGTCTTGATTATGCAGCTCACTTTAAAATGATTGCAAGTATTCACAGGAGATTTTTAATATTTTAAACCAATAACTAAATTTACTAAATAAATATGTGGTTATTTAATTTAATTAATAAAGAAAAACAAGTTTTTATATGGAATATGTGAGTATCCAAAAGTTTTTTGATCAACATCTTTATTTTTCTCTAATTGAATCCTCACAAAATATATCTTAATAAATTTGAAATATAAATATAGAATAATGTATTATTATAAATGTGGTCCTTCAATTTTGCGTTTGAAAAAAAAATGATATAGAGCAACATGCACCCATCCGTGGTGGAGAATATTCTTGTTGTGTAAGCTGTACTCCTCTATATGGGTTGGCAAAAAAGAAAAAGAAAAGTGCTTTATTCCTATGAAGTATAGTGTATATTAAACAAAGACGAAATTAGAAAATTTTTAAATTCTAAAACAGAATTAATCAGATCTAAAGATTTTTTTTTGGTGAATGGATTTCTAAGTTTTAATTCTGCATTATGGAAGCAACTGCAAATCGGATCACTAAACCACCACAAGGATGGAGAAGTGACGGTGGCGCAAGGAGGGAACGAGCGTCTTGCTTCCGAACCTACGAGCTGTGATTGGTCGCTAAAGAATTGCTCTGACTTTGCCGGCGAACTGCGACTGGTTGCAGACTTACAGCAGCATCTCCAAAATTTAACTCTATTAACTGTAATTGTAACACAGGCATAGCTAAACTTTATCAACGTATAGGAAGGAGAAATAATCACTTTTTTTTTTTTAAAGTTCGAACTCATAATTTCACACTGTACAAAACTTTAAGGAAGATGTTTGATGTTATTGGACGATAAAACCCAGCAAATTATGATCACTGAAGTCATGGAAACACAATTACAAAGTAATCAAACTTGGATATTTCATTATTAGACACTGTTTCAATCTTATCAAAAGATAAGCAAACTTGAAAATTATCCATATTAATGTTCTTTGTAACTTTTCATCCCTTTGTCCATATTCTATGTTAAAGTTGTACTACATTCGGTCTTTAATATAAGAGTTAATTTAATTTTTAATTTAGTTTTAAATATAAGATTTCAATCCATTTTGACTCTCACATTTATCTATTTTTTTAAAGTAGTCATTGCAATAATTGCATGTGTTAAAGATTCCATTAAATGATAGTTTTAACTAATATATATGATTAGCGAGGGTATTTTAGTATATTTAATAAACTTTTTTAGTATATTTAAATTAGTTAACTAGCTTTTATATTAAGGACAGGAGGAATTCATTTTGCATTCGCTAATTATTATCAGGCAATGAATTGACTTGCACTATTTTGTTATTCAGTATTACTTAAAAAAAAAAATCAGGATCTCAAGCAATTTCTGCAGGAGATGAGGGAGAAAAAGGATGAAACAAAGAAGATGATAAAGGGTATATTTGGATTAGCAGTGACAGAAATAACTTTTTTTCAATCTGACTGGGTAAAAAGTTAGATAGTATAATATGATTTATGTTTGGATTGAGTTTATGAAAAAGTCAGTTTGAAAAGTTGAAACTTGTTTGGATGATTAATGAAAAAGTAAGTTTAAATGTAAAATGACTTAAAAGGATATAAATTTTTTTTAAGTAATACATACCTAATATTATATGTATATAATGTGACCATTTTAAAAGAAATATTAAAAATAAAATTATTAAAAATAAATAAATTTAATTTATTATTATGAAGAAATTAAAAAAATAAGTATTTAATTAAATATATTTAATGGATAAATATATAAATTAGAAATCATATATATATATAATTTCTGTTCTTCTCGGGTTTTTTTTTTTTTTCAGCCACAATGAGTGAAATAAACGCATGTAGAAAGCCAAATTGGACATTTGAGGGGTAGGTGAGAAGCATTAATGCTGACCCACCAGCAAAAGCAAAATGAGTGAGCTTCTCTTTAAAAAGGCCGTTTACCCCTAAAAGTCAGATTGTAAAAACGGTATTCCAAAGACACTCTAAATTCAAAAAGCTCTTTTTGCCATTTGGTATCTCAAAACCGTGGTTTCAGAAGCACTTTTTCGTAAAACGAGATAATCTCCTCCACATATTTATTTCGTAATCCGTAAAAGCACTTCTGAAACCATGGTTTGGTTTCTATCCAAACACCCCCTTTTGGGCCTCCAAACTTGATCCCAAACACACCCAAACACGTCCGCCGAAGCAAATAGCGCAAAGTCAGTGGAAAACATATATATAATGCACTCTGCGATACAGCTGGGAAACAATATTCTATATAAACAATGATTTATTTTTCTGGGAAATGTTACGCTCATATGAATATTTTATAATCTATATTTTCTGATCTCGAAATCCCCAAGGTTCTTAATTAATTATAGAATATGCCTATTTCTCCATTTTGTGCTGAGGCATCGAAGCAGCAGCACTACTGTTTCTCACCGGAGTCAGTCTCAGTCGTCCGCCATGCTTCGATCCTCGACTTGAAATTAGCATTCAGTAATTTTCTCTTTTTACTCTGCTTTTCCGTTTGATTATTATTATGTGACCTCATTTTCATCTTCGTTTGTTGTTGTTTCTGCTTCTGCCTTTGCACAATTATTCATTCTCTACTTGGACAGATTCAAGGTTGGTCGATCTCTGAACCTTCTCTGCGCACAATAATCTTCATCCCTTCATTGCTTTGCTCGATCAAATTGCATGCACATTAAGGAAAGGTAGATGATTTTGTATGAGCGGGAAAAGTAGATTAGATTTATTGGCGAAAACTCAAGCCCCAAACTGTGGAACTGTATATATGACTTCAATTTCAATTATTATCGCTTTGGTTCAGTCTCTGTATATATATTGCATATGCAGGAACAGTAATAATGAAAAAGGTAGGTGGTGGAAGGCCAAAGGATGATGATGTGCGGCGACACGTTGAGGAATTGGAGGAAGGACGAAGATGGAAGTGTAAATATTGTGAACGGGAATTCGCAGGAGGTGCTAGCAGAATTAGATCTCATATTAATGGAGAAAAAGGCAGAGGCATTCGAGTCTGTCCAAAATTTGTTTCAGAGAAAGGAAACTCCAATGATCTCAGAGACAACCTCCAACATTGTCAACAAGGAGGTTACGTGATTATATATTATTATGCTCCCTCGTATCTTTTTTATAAGTCATGCAGAGGGGATTTTTTCTTTTTGTTTTTTTGCCAGCTTTTTTTTAAAGATATCATCTGTGATATTCATTACATTTCTCCCACATTGCCGTTATTTAATGTTGACCCAATTGTTTACAGTTACGCTATACCATAGGTTTAAATGAAGATAAAATCAATTAGATACTCCTTTACTTTTCAGACAGAGGTGAAGAGTTTTAACTTTTAACTCTTTCCTTAGTTCTGGTAAATTTTTTTACAAGTCATGCTCAGGGAATTTCATTTCATTTCATTTATATTTTTTTCCTTAAAAGAAATCTCACTGGACGGTATAATAGATTATAGCATGCCGAACGAAGCAGGACAAAGCCAAGCTGATGCCAAGTATCGGGAAGGGGTTCGAGTTTTTGGGTCTTCTTCTGTTTCCGAGGGGGAGAATGAAGACTTGAAGGTTATCCAATATGTGTTTGAATGCTTAAGGTTAGATTCATACTTCTGACTGTATATGTGCTTCTAATATGTATATATGAATGTATTTTATTTTTTGTTTTCTTTTTTTAAAATCACTCTAACTCTATTTTTTGATAAGTATATCATTTTAATTAATTCTTCAGTCCTGAAGATAAGGTTTTTCGTTCCCCACTTTCATATTTGTCTCAAGAAGAATTTGCCACGCTTAGACCAGGGGCTATTTTGGATTCATTGGTGAGTATTTATTTATTCTATTTTTATATTCTATTTTAATATTAATGACAAAGGTTTTATTTATATTAATGATATTCAGTTTCATGCATCCTTAGGTAATAGATGCTTTTGCGGAGATGTTAACCCATATTGAGCGAAAGAAGAAAATTACACCTCCGAATTGGTATCTTCCTGTGACATTTTCGGTGACTTCCTATTCCCTTTTTTGTTACGTGATGCATGTCAGTAGTTGTTTAATCTAAAGCTAGTTCATTGACAATAACTCTTAATGGTTCACCGTAATGTGATCACAGGAGGCAGCACTCAAATACAGCATAGCTCGCTTCTTGGACTTTGTCCATTGCCAAAAAATAAAAGAGAATTATATGTCACCACAAATTGATTTTTGTGAGAAGGTATGTCAGTCTTTTCAACTCTTTATAGAAAAAATAATTATTAGTAAGTTTCAATAATAAGTAAGTAGTTGTTATTTATTATTATGGAACTTGTCATTGCAAGCTACTCTGTTATCATTCAAATTTTTTAATAATTATATTCCTCTGTTTGGGACTTCATAGCATTCTCCCTTTTTTCCGCTATATGTCAATTTGATTTTTGTTATCACAAATAATAGGTGTTTATTCCTGTTTACATTGGAGCAAAGCCAAATTGTGGACATTTTTATTTATACATTATTCATTTAAAGAATGAAGAGATTGAAATATGGGATTCGCTACTCGATAAATTTGTGGCTGAGTCAGAACGCAGTGAGATAACAAAAAAACTGGTGAGTGTTAGATAATTGCAGTATTCAGAAGATTAATTGATTAATTCTTCTTTTGATTATATATAATATTTTATTTATATCTAGTTGCTTGCGATGGAAAAGCTGTTCGTGAAAGTAGCATTTACAAAATTTCGTTCCAAGATGGAAAACGACATCCTTCTACAGCCTAATGGGTGAGTGAACAATTACTATTGTATAAAATTATATAAACTTTACTAGAAAAAGTTTTTATCATAACCTTATCATATATATATTTATACGTTTTAATTTGTAGATTTGACTGTGGCATCTTTGTTGTGAAGTTTATGGAACAGTCACATAATTATGTGAAGGGAAATTCTTTATTTCAGGTACGACCTCTTGCAAAGATATTAGTAATAGACTCATATGGGTAAGCACTTACACATGCCCACGCGAGCACTCTCTTTTAGTCATATAATAAACGATACGGACAATTATATGCAGTTTGACAGTAAAAAAGAAAGGGAGGATTTGGCTTCAAAGTTGCTCAACAGTGACCTCAACCAAGAAAAACAAAATCTATACGACAAAGCAAGACGGCACTTTGCACAAGTTGAACAACAGGATGGCAATAAAAGGTTACGAATTGACAGAGTGAATAAATCTGATAGTTTAGAAAAAGGTACGAGTATCAGCATATAAAATATATATCCAACTCCATTTATTTGTCATTTATGGAAATGTATTAAAATTTGTTGAAGTTTTTAAAATTTAAAAAATTGTCCTAAACATTTTTGGCCAAAAAAATTGTCATAACTACCAGTATTTCTCTTAGCCACTCTCTTCTCTATAACTTACTGGATTACTTAATGAGGGACAAGTGCGGAAAAAATATTTAATTCTGACTAAATTCTGTGGTGACTTACATTTTGAATTCTCGAAAATTTTCAAATTTCGATTTGCACACAGGGACGATGGAGTATATACATATATTGATATATATATGACTACTTAAAATTTGAATGCAATATATTTAATTTAATTTTTTATATATTCTTCTTGCTATCTTTACTTAATTATTCATTACTATTCTTGTTTCTAGGAGCTTCTAAAGGTTATATATTGCCTACGACAGATTTAATTGGTTGGAATTTTCGAAGGAATATTCAAGATATATGGAAATGGATAATGGATGACAAGGTGTCAGCAATTGGAATCTGGGGAATAGGAGGGTCAGGAAAAACAGCCTTAGCAACCCATATACATAACAAGCTTATTTTGGAAGAAGCTACTAGTGATATTAACGTTATCTGGGTAACTGTATCACAAAATAGCATCTTGCATTTGCAAAAAGTGATAGCCAAATCAATTGAGCTGGATATATCTGATGAGTTTGAGGTTAAAAGAATTTCTGGGAAATTATTACAAGCATTTAAGGAGATGAAAAAATGTGTTATTATTTTAGATGATGTTTGGGATCATTTTTTTCTAAAAGAGGTTGGATTTCCCATACCAGATAATCGAATTAAATTCATTTTGACCACTCGTATAAGGGAAGTGTGTCAAGGTATGGACTGTAAGGAGGTAATAAAAGTGCAATCTCTATATGGACGAGATGGTTGGGCTTTGTTTGAAAAGCATTTGGGATTTCATGAAGAACCATCTCGGGAAGTGGAAAGCATTGCACAGAAAGCGGCACGGAAATGTGAGGGTTTGCCAGTAGCGATTATCAGAATCGCGACAAGTATGAAGGGAAAAACGAAGGCTAGAGAATGGAGTCAAATGTTGGAATGTCTTGAAAACTTGGGCAATGGGCAATATGAAATGGACAAATGGGTATTGCCAGTTTTGAGATCTAGCTATGATTTCTTAAATAACAAATTGCAAAGATTCTTCTTGTATTGTGCTTTAAGTACCAATGGAAGTTTTGACGATAATGGTGCTAATCGTTTGATAAGAAGATTTGTTTATGAAAGCATTGATGAGACAAAGAAGTTGAGGGTGCAGTATAACGAAGGTTACAACATGTTGGATAAATTAAAGAATCATAGCATGTTGGATTATGGTGATAAATGGATGATAAACAAATTTCTTAGAGCCCTTGCTATTGGTATTGTAGAAGAAACTTGTAAAATTATGGGAAAAGCTTATAAGAATTTGACAGAAATACCAAGTGATAACCAATGGACAGAAGATCTACAAAAAGTTTTTCTGACGGGAAACAACATACAAACAATTCCAAATGGAACGTGTTTTAAGTGTTCTCAACTTTCGATGTTGCTTTTGGATTGTAATGTAGAACTCAACCACATTCCAGATGAATTTTTCAACAACACGCCTGCTCTCAAGATACTTGATTTGTCTGAGACTATGATTGAGCGTTTGCCTGCATCGTTGTTCAACTTGAAATGTCTGATTGCATTATTACTCTCAGGATGTACAAAATTGAGTTACATTCCCTCACTAGGAAAATTGAAACGGTTAATATCATTGGATCTATCTTCTACTGCCATCACTGAAGCACCTACGGGCTTGGAATCATTGGTCAATCTTAGACGCCTATCTCTACTCCCTACAGAAAAGCTGAAAATGTCAGCATGGCTTCTATCCACATTGATCAATTTAGAGTGTCTTGAGGCGGGTTGGGCCCAATGCTCAACGGATGTGATTGGACAAGGTACACAAGGTTTGAAAAGGTTGGAAGTTATAGTAGCCCATTTTCGTGACATTAGCGTATTCAATAACTTTGTGAGCTTCCTGGCCCGTAGTTGTGTAACCAGAAGCTATCTATTAACTTTAGGGGGTGCAACATACAATCTACTACGCCGGCACTATATTCATCATTCTTATGGTGGAGAATATTCCGTGAACAAGATACTTATTAAGAATATGGACTGGGGAAATGAAAAAGTTATACTCCCAGGAGGCATCGAGGAGTTGGTTATCGACAATTGTGGCCGAGGGAAAGGTAAAAGATCCCTATGTAGTGTTTTATCATCTGGCCACAACAATAATCCATCCCAAATTAAACTGCTGGAAATCAGCTTGTGTGATGGTTTGGAGTGCTTATATTGTTGTAATTGCCCCTTTTGCCCCTCTACTCAACTTGTTGGATGTCTCAAAATCAATATTTTGACGGGATTGAAAGATTTAGTGTCACCATATGCTGATTCCTTGCATCAATCCATCCTATTTTCTCATCTCACAGATCTCAATATTGGGGATTGCGACAGCATGGAGGCTCTGATGACACCCAAGTTACTGGCACACCTACAAAACTTGCGGACCATTGATGTTGATTGTTGCTGGAACATGAAAGAAATGGTTGGAGCTGAAGAGGATCATTCTGAATTGGAACCTACAACTGGTAGTGGCGAAATGATGGTCCTTCTGTCTAACCAACTTACTCACCCTACTCTCATTCTCCCCAAGTTGACATCTCTCAAATTAAATTTCATGCCACAATTAGATGTTGTATACAGAGGCGTCATGCTCTGCCCTTCCCTCCAAACATTCTCTGCTAATAGTTGCCAAAAACTAAATCACCCTCAGATAACGATCTCAAATGATGGAGGTGGGCTTCCGATGGAGAAAACCCCAACTGGATACCGTTGGGGAATTAATATTGATTAATCAGGTCCATATCTGACTTCTTTTATATTATGCTTATGATTCTGATTGAATCTCAGCAATTTATGAATATTGTTACCGTTTGTGTGTACTTCTCCTCAAGCTTCAAATATACTGATAAGCTTCTCATCTCTAATGACACAAAGTGACGAACTTTGAAAACCTAAAATTAATTTATATTGGAGCCACATGATCATATGTTTCTTTATTGTTTATTTCTCCCTGCCTGCTTGTGTTGTACTTGATTTTTGTGATCACCACTAACCTTGCACGCTCACATCAATTTCAAAATTGCTGCCAATAAAAAATATTAATGTTCCCATAATTGAAATTTTGTTTGTTATAAATTATATGAAATTGAAATAAATCATAGATTATAAGGTGATAATCTCTTGTTGTGTTTTATTTGAATGCTCAAAGTGTGCACTACACAATACAGGAAGTTAATCATTGTGAATATATTTCATCTCCAAAGTTTCTAATGGTATTGTCAGTTATTCAATTAGTCACAAAGTATAGTTTCAAAGTTGTTTGTGGCATGTGTAACATCTCAAATTTTTAAATTTTATGATAACAAGGGAAAGAAATTTATTAAAATTATTTAAAGCCTAAAAAAATTTGGAAAAATTTCAAGGACTCAGGAGGACCTATTTTTTTAAAAATTCAAGAAAAATAGATTGAGGTTTATATTTGACATAAAAATTTTAGGATAATTATTTTATGAGGTAAATAAGCTAATTGAGGCATAAAATCTTTCAAATGAATTAAGGATTAATTTCTGAAATTAAAGGTTATTTTCTTAAAAAATTCAAGGAAAATGGTTAGGAATTGATTTTTGATTCCCAATTTTAGAAAAATTATTTTATGAGCCAAAGAAGTTAATAGAGAAGGAAAATCCATTTAAAATATGATGGATTAATTTTTGGATTTATTTTATATTTCAGAAATTAGTTGAAAGGATGAAAGTGAATACAAAACTTGTTGATCATTTCTCACCTTTTTTTTTTTAATTTGATTAAACCCATCTGCTCCTCTTTCCATCATTTCGACAGGAACCAGAGAGAAAAAGAAAGCCAAGAGAAACGTGAGAGGGAGACCGTAAGAGCAGAAGCCGTCCGAGTAGTGATCGGTGGCCGTTTCCTTGCATGCCCAGCTTAGTCTCTGAACAAGATGAGTCCTCTGATCATCATTCTACTCTTCCTTCTTTGGTTTGCTAAGTGCTTGAAGAGTTAATGCTGAAAGAAGTTTGGGTTCTAGTGAGAGAAACTCTTGGTTAAGTGCGACCTTGATGATGAGGAAAGAGTAGTGTTTGTTGATGATAATGGAGTATGAGTTTTAGCTTGCATGTGGATTTCCTTGCTCTGTTTTTGGTTGGCCGAAACAGGGGAAAGAAGGTTGTTTGAATTTGTAGCTCAGAATCTATTAAAATCAAGACCCATAACAGTAAAAATCTCATTGCATGTGAGTATGTTGGATTGCATGTTGTTTTCTTCTTTTGTTTGGTGGATAATGGGACTAAGTGGGGAGCAGAACTTGAACTCCTTTCCTTTTGCGTGTTGTGGTGCAGTTAAGGGAGATTAGATGGATCAATGGATGTGATAATTTGAATGCTAAATTTGAATTTGAATACATAGCTATAAATCTGCAAAATTTCCAGATCTGGAGTAAAAGTTATATGTGTTAGAGGACAATCAAATTGATTGTATATAAGAGGTTGAACGTGATCAAGTGCTATTCACAAGAGGTTAAATAGAATGAGTAACTTTGGAAACTAAGCATTAGTTTGAAGTTTTTGTCTAATGATCCTAAAAATGTTTTGCACTTATTTTGGATTGTCAAAGTTGTCTAGAGGTGTTAAAGTATGGTTTGATTATTATCTTACACCTGGAAATTTTTTAGATTAAGGTTAAAGTTGCTCAAGTGAAAAAAAAAGAAGGAAAAGAAGTTTTCATATGGTAATCGGATTTTATACAGATAAATTTATATTCGTATGCAAGTACTGATTTTAAAGAAATATTGTGATTAGACGAAGGTTTGGTATTTAATAAGTACAAAGATGGTTCTGTATGCTAAGTAATTAACTTAGCTAAATAAATTCTGTTTAGAAGCTGGAATGTAAGTTAAAAAAAAAAAAACTTAGGCTTAGATTGCCCGAAACCTGTGGTGCCCACTGTGCACCCCCTGTTATAATATAATATATATAATATATGTATAATGTATATTATAATATAATATAATATAATATATATATATATATGTACCCACCCTTGAGAATGTGGTGCCCACTGTGCACCCCCTGTTATAATATAATATTATATTATATATATATATATATGTACCTGCTAGCCTCTTTATTGATTTGCGGTAGTGCCTTTTTTTTTTTTGTTTTTTAATTACACACCCTATCTTAAACCTCCTCACAGGAGGGAGTACTCACGCACCCAAGCACCTCACGCGCGCACATGCTCCTAGCCACATCCACATGGGTCCTCGACAAGAGAGGTGGGATGATGCCGTTTGAGCCCATGCTACTGGCTACGTAGTAATGTATTCTATATGCTCCTCTGACCATATTCATAAAGTTGATAAAAAAAAGATATTTTTTTAGTCACATTTTATAAGTACGTTATTAAAATTTTTTCATTAGTGTATAATCTTTTATTTTGTTGAAAAGTATACATACACACACTACATCCGGTATTAAAAAAATTAGTTAAATTAATAATTTGAAACAAATGTGTATCTACTTTCTTAAACTATCATATTCAATCATTTATATTGGAATTACTTTTTGGTGAAAACTCCTAATAATTTATAGAGATATTTTAAAAAATGTTATAAATTTGAGAAACAAAATAGATTAGGTCTTATATTTAAGACTAAATCTAAAACCCTAATTAGATCTTATAATTAGCATCAAAAGTAGTATGTATATATTAAATGGGAATACAATTAAAAAGTTATTACATCTTAAGGCATAACTAAAAAGATTTAAGATTTTTCTTAATTTTATTGAAACTTATTGAAAATAACTTACAAGTAATATTAAAATAGCATATAAGAAAGTGTGACGCTAAAAGAAAAAACTGAAATCATTTTTTGCCGAGAGCAATTCCACACTATGTCAAATCAGAAAAGTTGAATCATTCTTGTGAAGAAAGAGTTTAGTACAAGCGTAGCATTTTGATAATTACTTCCCATCATGTAATATTCATAATGATACAAAAAAACGTTTTGACATCTAAAAAAGAGTAATAACTAGTAAGTGGGCCAAAGCTAATCAAACAACTATATTTGGATTAGCGATGACAAAACTAACTTTTATTTCAACTGACTTTTACAAACATGAGTTAGAATAAAAATTAGTTAGTGTAATGTGATTTATATTTAGATTGACAATTTAGTTTAAAAAGTTAAAATTTATTTAAATAATTAATAAAAGTTTAAATGCAAAATAACTTAAAAGAATATGGATTATATTAAATATACATATTTATATTATATGTATATAATGTGATAATTTTAAAAGAAATATTAAAATTAATTATGAGAATGACTTAAAAAGATTCCATGTGTCATTGGAAAGTTTGTAAAATATATTTGTCATATTTTAGTTAAAAAGTTAATATTAATAATTTTTTATTTTAATTAGTCAAACGTAAAAGTGAAAATAAAAATAAAAATTGTTAGTTAGTGAATTGTTTTAATTGTTTTGGGTAGAGACCATTAGTTACACAAATAATAGTATCTAAAAACAAAATAAAATAATAACAGTAGAGCTAGTGGCAGGTTCAAGGACCAACATGCTGTTCCTAAAAGAACTAACTTCTGACTGGCTAGTATTTTACCAACCTAGCACCCGCCAACCCCCCTTTTATTATTTTATCTTTTGATTTTCTTTTAATAAAATCTATTCCAATTCCTAAATACCTAAAATGAAGCATCCAAATAAAAATTGTCATAAATAAAACATGAAATCCAAAATTTCAAACATTTCAAAATATTAAACGTACATGATATATCATCCTAAATTATTAAACATATATCCCAAACTAAAACATAAAAAGTCCAAATCAACAATAACATAAATATAATGCTACAAATCACTATCAAGTGCTTAACCATAAGCCATTATTCAATATTAATAGGGTTCAAAGTATGATTTGAAGATGTAAAATTATTTGGTTGAGCTTGAGAGGTAAAACCACACTCTTTTTACTCAGTTAACTCTCCCACAAATAAAATTCATAATGCAAAATGAAAAAATATTATATTATGATAATTTTAAATAATGAGAATGAGATAAAGGACTAAAAGAGTGAACATACTTATATTTAAAGAGTGGTGAAAATTTTTTAAAAAAAGAGAGGTGAAAATTTTTTAAAAATAAAATAAAATAAAATAAAAATGGGCTGACCTATCAATCATACAAGTTAGCCTATGACGAATTCGGTCTTGACAGTTACGAATTTAAAAAATCTGTTTTAAAATAAACTTAATTTTTATTAACTCAACTCACTACTTTCTTGCGGGTTGGACTAAACCCATATTAGCGGCTATAAGTGATAGGCACTGATATAACATGAGTGTGAAGGAGAAGGTGAGTATGTGAAAATTTTTAATGCTGAATGTAACGCGAGAAAAGCAACAAAAAAGGGAGCGTTTAATTTATTTTTATCGTGCCACAAGGGATAGGAGTTTTCTCATTAATGCTGACCCCAAGCAAAAAAAAAAATCACAAATGAGTTTCAAAAACCTAAATTCCACAAATTTCTAGACAACCTTAAACGCTTCTCCCAGTTGCTCAGCCGTCCCTTCTCATCCACCATTCTGACAGTACTAGTCAACTCGATACAGCTGTGGACTGTACGTTCTGATCATTTCAGCCTCATCTTCCCCAAATCCCCGAAGTCCTCAACGATATGCCTAGTCTTTCTTTGTCCATTCTGTGGACACGTTTTCCTCTGTGTTGACTCATCGTCCGTCCTGTTTCAATCCACAAC